CAATCCACGTGCAGGAAGGGGAGCTGAAGCCCAGAGACACTGCAGAAAGACCACCAACTGTCAGAGCTCGGCAGGCCTAGGGGAAGTGGAGGAGGCCAGGAGAGGGCTCCTCTCTGCCTGCCTTCTCCTCCCCTATCAGTGGCATGGCTGACGCATACCTTATTCTTCCCCTCTACAAATTCGGTCCAGGTGTCCAGACTTTCAATGGGGTTCACTGCATCCTGTGTGGTCACCTCTCTCCAGTCACGGCACTGTGGCATGTGGTCTCTCTGCTGCCGCCGGCTGCTGGGAGCAAGAGGGGGCCAGGTCAGGTCAGGATATGGGCAGGGAAGGCCCCACAGAGGGTGGGGGTCGAGACTTTGTCATACTCAGGGTCATCTGCTCACACGTGTGGGGATTGGGGCTTTGTTTCTGGAACACTATCTTCCACTCTTTATGCTTATGGTCCCGTAACAACCTATCCTGTGAAGGCTGCCAGACACAGCCTTCCCCAAAGGCCGAGGCCTGCTGCCTGCGGAGCAGCACATACCTGTGGCCTCATGGCCCCCTCTATCCTGCTGTGCCCACCACCCCCTACTCAAGATGTGTCCCTTCCTGCATCCCATTCCTAGATCTCCCAGGGGCAGCAGAGTCAACACTTTTGTTCTAAGAAGCCCCCTCCTCCTTCCAGAGCTGTGGCCCCTTCCTGGGCTGGGTGTGACCCCAGCACCTTTAGTCCCTTGTTGGGATATGGGTCTGGGGTCCCAAGGGAGGCTCTTGTCTACCCCCAGCAGAGCAGAGTGGGACCCTAGGGTTCTGTCAGTTGGCCTAGAGCAAAAAGGTAGAAACATCAGAGGGAAGCAAATTTGGAAGGGCCTCGTGGTCTAGAAGAATCTCTTATGAGCCTTGGATGCAGCCGGCCACCCCTACCGAGCCTCCACCATTGATGGTCCTGTCGCTATAGCCCCTTTCCTGGTGCAGCTTCTCTGTCACTTCCTTGGGTTCCCAGCCTCCATCCTTCCCTAGCCTGTGCCCTTCCACCCTGCCCACAAGGATCTCTTGCTCAATGGCAAATGTGACCTGTGAGCCCCCCCACTCCGTGCCCTTCACTGCTCCCTAGTGCCTTCCAGACCGCTGGCTACCTTGGCACCCTCTTCTCCCATCCCCTGCTTGTCCAATTTGTCCCTGCTCTCAGCAAGCTCCTTGGTCTGTCTGTCCTCCTGGTACCCAGCTCCCGTGTAGGGGCGCATGGCTCCTCAGTTGGGCGGGCAGGCTCTGCTGCTTACAGCCGTGACCTTGGGAAAGTCAGGACCCTTCTCTGATCCTCAGTTTCTTCCTCTATAAGGGGTCATCGTGAACACTTCTCAGAAAAAGTTAACTGGGCATGATTGGTGTGCCCCAGTGCTCAATACAAGTCTCATAAAACTAGCTCACGTCTGCCCACTTGGTGCCCAGTTCCCTTTGTCCTCCTGGATGATGCAGTTATGTGTCTTGGGGGCTTTCATTTCAAGGTGGTGGGTGGCAGCTGCACCATCCCATGTGCAGCCCAGCCTGATGGATACTAAGGAGGCTCTGAGCCTTGCTCAGGTGAGGTAAGGTCAGGGAATGGCGGTAGGGTTCGAGTTTAAAGCAGGACTCTGGGGAGGAGTGCGGGCCGTGAGTGGGGGACCCAGCCCAGGTTGAGGATGGAGCTGGGAAGCAGGGAAAGACAGGCTGGAGCCACACTCACAGGCTGCGCTGGGTGAAGGTCTTGCAGGGGGTCCATGGCCTCCAGTGCCACTGGACGCTGAGAGGAGGGGGCACCCCATAGGCAGTGCAGGTGAGGGCCTGGCGGCTGTGGCGGGAGTAGGTGCTGGGGGAGGAGGCCTCCTTCTCGTGGATGTGGGGGGGCACTGGGGACACAAGCAGACAGCTGGTCAGCAGGCCCCTGCCGTGCCCACCATTCTCTACTCAAGATGTGCCCCTTCCTGTAGAGTCCACCCAGGGACAGCAGAGTCCCCTGTCTTGTTCTAGGAAGCTCACCCTGCACCGTCCCTTCTCCCGTCCCGCCCCTGTACCGTTCACCACCAGCTCCAGGCTGATGTTGCACCGCAGGCCGGCCGCAGAGTTCCACAGGGCGAGGGTGTAGATGCCTGCACTGGCCTCCGTCACCTCCTTGAGCACCAGGGCATGCGGACTATGGCGCCCGGACACTGACTTTCTGTCCTTGTACCTGGCCCGAGAAGGGAGTTCAGGGGCTCACGTGGACCAACGCCTGCCCTGTCCTAGCATCCCTTCCCTGCCACAGCCAGGCCCCTACAGGATAACTGCAGTAGACTGTCAGGGGAGGCAGGAAGAGGCTGGTGCCAGAGTCCTGATGGGCCAGGCTGGAGTGAGAGACCCCTCCTGGACCAGACCAGGAGGCTGCTGGGAAGGGCGGCAGGGCTTCAGGCTGGGGCAGCTGCTGACTCTGCATGGAGAGCAGGTGACCTGGAGGCTATGGGGATGGTCTCCAGGCCGCACTGTCTCTCACAGACTTCAATGGTATGTACTGGGAAGGACCAGAAGTGCAGTCCTCCAGTAGCACAGACCAGACCCTTACCGCATGGGGGCTCTGCCTCACTCTCTGACCCCAGCTCTGCCCTTCCTGGAGCTTTTCAGATGCTGGGTCTTCTTGCTGCCCCCACACTCCCACCTGGGGCCTTTGTATTTGCTGTCCTTCTCCTTGCTTGGATGCTCGGTCCCCTAGACACCTGTATGGCTCCCTCTCTCCTACATTCAAATACTTATTAGACAAAACTTTGCCTACTGTCCTATGAACCAGCTCCTGCCCTCTGCCCTGCTTCTCCCTGCCTGCTTCTCCTCACACTGTCCCCTTTACTGCTATGTCCCTACACTTAGAGAAATACACATCGGTGTTCAGTGTACATGCAAATAGATGTGGTTCCTCCCCAGGCCTGACCTGGGAGTGCTGCTGGCAGCTGCCTCTGCAACCCACACTCTACCTGGAAATGGTCCTCCCTCACGCAGGTGGCTTCCCCTGGTATTCAGCCAGAGTGGTGCGGGAGAGGCACACCCTTGGTCAGAGACCAACAGTGAGGGGGGATGTAGGGGAGGAGCATGAGTCATCCAGGGTCACACAGCAGGACAGGGCAGGGCAGACCTGAGGCCATGTGGCCTGCCAGGCTCTGGTGCAAAATTCTGAGTCTGCCTCCTGCTGCGTCTGTGATCTTCGGCAACCCCCTTCATGGCCCCAAGCCCCCAATGTCATCATCTGAAAACCGGGGAAACAAAATGCACTTTTTTGCAGGGGTCATGAGGTTGAACTGAGTTACAGCCTGTGGTGTCAGCACTGTGCTGGACACAAAGGGTGCTTCAGGAGCTGAGGGCCAGCCTGTCTGTCCACTAGATCTCTATCCATTCACTTACTCATAGCCATCACATGACAGCCTAGAAGAATAGACCCTTGTGGGGCTGTGGTGGCTACTGTGCCTGGGGGCAGGTGTCTCAATGGACAATGGGCCCAGCTGAGCACTTCTTAGAGGCAGGTGTTGGCCAGGTGAGAGGAGAAAAACTAGATGTAGTGGGAATGATGAGAGGCAGCCAGCTGCCTGAGCCCCAGGTCTGGGCCAGACCCTGGATGGGTCAGTCTTGCTGGCCTTGGAGAGCAGGGGACAGAGCCCCAGGTATCTCCAGGAGGCTGATATGTAAGGGAGGCTCCAGGCTGCATCAGTGCCTTTTAAGACCCTGTCCTCTACCAGGTACTGCTAATGGACCACAAAGCCTATGGCCTTAGAGGTAGGGTTATACAAGGCCCAGGCCCACAGCATCCTGAGGCCCTCCCAGGAGAAGCCTGCTTCCAGCCTGGGACAGCCAGCACAGTGACATCCCAGCTGAGAATGTCTGGGGCCCCTGCTTGCCCAGCTCCAGGCTTTCAGAAAAGGTGATCCTGCCTGGAGGGAGGTGCCCTGGTCTGGGAAGGGCAGGGTTTCTCTGGCCAGCTGGGAAAGGATGAAGCAGAGTTCTCCCAGGAGGCTTAGTGCTCAGGTAGGAATGCCCTTCCCCTTCCCCCACCTCTGTTTCCATGTGTACAATGGGGGTCAGGCTAGAGTGTGACATCCCAGGGTTGGACTGCACTGATTGCTCAGATGACCCAAGGGTGTGTGTGTGTGTGGAGGGGGATGCTGTGACAACCTGAGCTCCTAGGGAGCTCTCTGGGAGCACATAGCAAGGGCGGAGCCACCACTGAGGGACCCTCCCCCTCACTGACCCTTAATACATCCTGAAGGGGAGGCCTTCTCGGGTCACAGACCAGAGCTGGGGCTCTGGAGTCTGTGGGCCTCCTGGAAACTCTTGCTTTCTGCCACACAGCTCAGGCCCAGCCCAGAGCCTGGCCCTACAACAGTCTGTGGAAACTGTGTGGCATCTCTGAACTCATGGATAGGAGGGTCCTGGCGGTGGTAACCTGTTCAGAGGGAGGCCTAAGAAACCCAAAGCCACTGCTGTAGGGCAGGCCCAAGCTCTGTGACATCCTTCAGCTGGCAGGGCCCTCAGGGACACTGAGCAGTTGCAGGAATCAGTTGGATAAAGCCCTACATTGTGCCCACCACACCCACTGATAACAGGAGGCTGGTGTTTGCAAGCTTTCGTAGCTTAGAAGCAACCAGAGATAACTTTCCCTCTGGCTTAAATATTGTCTTAGGTGCATGTTCCTTAGAGTGTCTTCAGAGGGGAGTCCCCATAGGGGTCTCAGGGCACAGACCCTTGATGGGGAGGATGCTGCCCTTCCCGCCTTGTTGGACCTGGTGGGTAGCAAGAGGCAGGGGCCAGGGCTGGTACCATTGGAACTCCGGCGGGGGGTACGCTGCTAGCTTCACAGGCAGCTTCACCAACTCATCTCCTGCGGTGGCCTCCAGGACAGGACCCTTGAGCCACTCGACGCTGATGAAGGGCTTTTCTGCCAGATGGGAGGCATCAGTGTAAAGCCGGGGCCTGGAGTCACTGACCCAGCCCTGCCCAGGGACTCCCAGCTGTGGTCTGGCACCCCCCAGAGGACAGATGCCTGCAGACTGGGGCTCGCCCTGCCCTCTGGGGTCCACTCATTACCCTCCCTTCCCTCTGGCTGGACTCTACACTGCTCAGGTGCACCCTGACCTCTGACCTCCGCCCACACTGCACATGGACCCTTGTTCCTCAGGCTTGATGACTGACACCCGACTCAGCCCCACGCCATACCATGCACAATGACCTCAGTGCTCTCTCGGAATCGCTGGATGCCGTTGTTGGCCTCACACACATACGGGCCCAGGTCATGCTGGCTGACGTTGTGGATGGTCAGGATGCTGGAGAGCTCTGTGTGAGTCTGCTGGGAGCGCCGCTCTGGCACCCACTTACCCCGCTCTGCCTGCCCACGCCCAGGGGAAGCCCAGGGTCAGAGCAGGTGGGTTCTGGCAGAACTGAGCACCAAAGGCACATATCCCAGCCTAGCAGGGACTCTGGAAGCCTTGGACCCAGACCCAGAGTTTTCCTTGGGGTAGGAAAACTTTGCTATCAGACAGGGGCTCTTGGGGCAGGACCCTCTATTCAGAGGCCAGTGTGCACCAGGCCAGGGTGGGGGTGGGCAGTGATGGACACTCCTGGGGACAGTGTGGGCAGTGAATGGGGACTCCGGGGGATGGTTCCAGTATGGCCCTGGCCGGGCTGCTGGCTTCACCTGCTTCCCTGGATAGTCCCAGTCAAAGGTGACACCTGAGTTGAACTCGGCCCACACAGTGCAGTTCAGGACCAGCTTCTCCCCAACCAGCAGCTCCAGCGACTTCTTGGGGAACAGCTGGATGTCATAGAGCTCGTTGCCTGGAGGAGACATGCACAGTGACCCCCACACCCTTCACAGGATGGCACATACAGGGTGTAGGGCACAGGGTGCCCGATGAGACCAGCTGTGGCACCTATAGCCCCATTAGCAGGAATTGGGGGATCCCCCATCCGCTTCCTGCAGTCCCCCCAGGACATGGGCAGGGGTTCCCAGGTGGGGCAGGAGGAGGGCCTGCAGCGCAGGGCAGCCCCTACCTGTGATGTGCACGAGGAACGGGTTGGACAGGAAGGCCTGGCCACCCCAGGTGGTCTCACACTGCAGGTACAGGGCGTCGCGCAGCAGTGGTGTGGGCACCCGCATACCCCGGCGGTCGTCCCACACCACCTCCTGCCCATCAGGCCGCAGTGCTGAGTTTTGCTGCAGAGACATGGTGGCTGTCAGCTCACTTCCTCCTGGCCAGACCGGGGAACTCTTTTTCCAGTGACAGAGACAGGAGGGCCAGATCCTGGGGTGGGGTTGGGGATGGGGGCTGTACCGATCGCAGCGTGACGTTGAGGCCAGGGATGGACACCAGGCAGGGCACCCACATGGAATCCTTCCTGTTGACTAGAAGCGTGTCTGGCTTGTTGATGAACGGCTGCTCCAAGTCTGAGGAGAGGGGGCAGGTTGTGGGCGGGGAAGGCAGGGCTTAGGGGTTTTCTACCCAGGCAAGGGGCCCTGGGTGGCGCCCAAAGGGTGCGCAGGTTGGGGCTGGGGGTGCAGCTGCTGGATGCCTCTCCAGGATCCAGCACCCTGCCCGTGCCTCCTGGGCAGCCGCGGGGCCAGCTGCTCTGGGTGCCCTCACCTCTCACGAACACATAGGTGCTGGCCGCGGTGGTACCCTCTATGCGGGCTTTGATGTACTTGTAGTAGCAACGGTAGCTGCCCGTGTTGTTGGCGTGGGCCTCGGGCAGCAGCAGCACCTTGCAGTAGGGCCTGGTGTCCGTGCCCTCGCAGTCTCGAACAACCCCTGTGTCCTCACCGTCCTTCTCCCCCGTGGCTGGTGTCTCGTGAGCCCCTGGCCAGGCCCACTCGAGGGGGTGCTGCCCCCTGACAGAGGACACGAAAGGACAAGGGGGTTCCTGCTGCAACTCTAGGGCACAATCCCTGTGGAGCCTTCCCAGAAGTCAAGCCTTGCCTATAGCTTGTCTCACCCCGACGTTGGAACAGCCCATGGACCCAGCCCAGGGCAGGGTGCTCCTCAAGGCCCTTGGGGGCCTTTGCATGGCTCCTGGGCCCACATATTGCAGGCCGGCTTGCAAAGAAGCCTGCAAATCATTCCTAGGGCTGCAGGGAGGATAGGAGGCCTGGAGCCAATGGAGGGTGGCTGGGGGTGGGTGTAGGGAACCTGGGGTCCATGCAGGGTAACTTGGGGCATGGAGTGGCCTGGGGTCAGTGAGGAGTGACCCAAGGGTGGGTGCAGGGTAATCGATCTGTGGTGGGAGCAGGTGTAGCATGTCTGCAGGGCAGGGGATGGTCTATGCCTCCAGGAACCCACACCCAGGCAACCAGGGAGCCCCACAAAGCCTTGAGGTCCCTTTGCCCTTGGGAGGGACTGCTTTCCAGGTTCTCCTCTACCATCTCCTGCCTTGGACTTCTGTAGGAGGGACCCGGGCCCCTGATCCCTTGGCTGAGGTATGAGTACCTGCAGGAGATCGATAGGCTGTCACTGGAGTCAATGATGTATGTCTCCTCCGTGATGTTTAGGGTTGGGGGGGTCATGGAGTAGCCACTTGCCAGACCTGGGGTGGGAGACAGGGTTAGTATGGCGCTGGATCATGAGTTCACATGGTGATGTCAGTCTGGGACTGATGGGCCTTCCCTGCCCACAAGAGCATACCCCTCTCTACGGCAGGGCTGCCTCAGCTCTTGGCCCCAGGCAGCACCTTCCAGGCCCCAAGACAACCAGGGATCTCTACCTCAGGCTGCCCCTTGCCCTTGTCCCTGGCAACAGACTGGGCCCAGCCCCCAGTGAGCTGTGACCTGACTGAATCCCAGTCTCTGGCCCCATAAACTCACATAAGCTGGGCTGCCGACATGAAGTTGATGGGAGAGACCACAGGCCTTACTCTAAATTGGGGGAGGCCTGGAGTGTGTCACCTTGGCATGGTGACCCCCACATGACTATATGAAGGGCTTTCCCTCCTAAACCCCAGACACACGGCCTCTGCTTGTAAGGGGGTCCTTACATGCACAGTGTAGACCCTTCCCAAATGCCCAGAACCAAGGGCCTCCACTGCCCCTGCTGCAAACTCTGCCCATGACCTCACCCTCTCCCAGGTCTCATGGAGTTTGCCTCCTATGTCCTTGGCTCTATCTGCTTCTGTCCACCCTCGCAGCCCCCTCTGGCTGCCCCAGCATCCCCCCACACCCCTTGCCTCGTTCCTCCATCCTTCCCACAGGGCTTGACCCCAAACACACAAATAACTCTGCTTTGAAAACCCTCCTGCTGCCCTGCTGCTCATGCAGCTTCTTGCCCCCATTCTCCTTTCAGCAGGACAGCATGTGCCTATGTGTGCACATGCCCATAGGTGTGGGTCTGTGTGTGTGTGTGTGTATCTGGGGCGTGGATCTGCATGTTTGTGAGGCTGGTGTGTAAGTGGTGTGTGTGGCTTTGTGTGTGGATGTGTATGTGTGTGTCTGACATGTCCATGTGTGCATGCCCATGGGCGTGTGTGAGTGTGTGTGTGAGATCCCGGTAGGGGTGGGAACAGGCCTTGGGGGAGCTCTGGACCTGGAACTCTGGCAGATGCATCCTGCCAGGACCATCGTGAGACAACAGGAAGAGAGGACTGCGTGGCTGGAGGCCCAGGGCTGTGTCCTGTCCCCCCTCCCCCCAACCCACCGTGTCCCATGTCCCTGTCCTTCTGAGGGGCACAGCTCACTACTGACCCACAGGTCCAGCTCCTCTGTCCTTCCCTGCCCACCTCCCTGATACCAGGTGTCCCGCCCTGGCAGCTTATTGTGGGATGCAGATCCTAGAGGACCCCCACTATAGTTGGCTCTACACCACCCTGAACCCTTGACCCCCGACCCACCCTAGGGTGTAGGACAGCACACTCTGTACACTCAGATTTCATTTAAGCCTCATGTGGACAAGAAGGCCACTAGCCAGAGCCTGGCTCTCCCCTTCCCTTCCGTGCCTCCTGTTGGCCAAAACCTTCTAGGCACCACACCACAGTGGGGCAGAGGCAGAAGGCCCTTACTGAGCATCTAGTCTCATTGTACTGACAGGGAAACTGAGGACCTCCAGTTGGACTGCACCATTGCTCTCAGAAAGCAACTCCCCGTCTGGCCACTGTGACCACTGCAAAGTCCCTCCTTAGCCTGAAGGTGTACCCCCTCCTGACACTCAGACCAGTGGGCTCTGCCACCAGTTCCACCCTCCCCAGGGCAAGTGTTAGCACTCCCTGCACACTAGCCCCCATTGCACACCTCCAGGGCTGGTGTGGGAAGAGGGTGTCCTGCAGAAGGGAGCCTCCCCTCAGGTGGTTAGGGGCTAGGAAGAAATCCCAGGAGAGGTGGGTGTTGAAGGAGAAATGGGATTTTCCAGGTAGTGGAAAGTGAATAAAGCCACACCAAGCAGATGGCTGGCCTCTGAGCTACAGTAGAGGGAGGTCAGTGGGCTTGGGTTTGGACCTGTGAGGGAAGAAAGGATGGGCCCTCCCAGTGGATCAGTTAGGGGTGAGGCCTGAGGCTGGTGTGTGGGCACCAGAGGAGAAGTATGGCAGCCAGCACTCACCTGCCCCAGGCTTGCGCATGCCCTGTGGTGAGGCCTACAGCATTGCCTTGGGACCCCCAGGGCCCCGTTTTCTGGGGTACACATCCAGGGCACACCCCTGGCACCCCTGGCTAGGAGCTGTGGCAGATGTCAGCCCAGCTTCTTTGGCAGCAAGCTTTTGCTTCTAAGATAAAGTAGGGGCATGCCAGGACTTTCTGCCCAGTGCCCTTCTCTCCAGCTTCATCTCCTGACACATCTCTGAGAGGCACAGAGTGCTCACCATTGTCGCAAAGTGCCGGGCTTTTCATATCCTGAAGTCTTTGCTTTCACCTGTCTTTTCACCCTGGACATTTGTACTTCCTTCCCTTCTGCAGAGCCCCTCTTCAGGGCCTAGTTCACATGTCCCTTCCCTATGGTGGGGCAATCATCATTACTCAGGCAGCTTCTGCCTCCTGGGCTCCTGCTGTTAGAACATTTATCAGACTGATTTGTGGTTTTCTGGTCACATCTGAAGAGAGGCTGTATTTTATTGATCTTCCTAAGCTCAGTTCAGAGGAGATGTACACCGAAGATTGAGGGGATTGATTCAAGAATGGTAAGATGGATGATGAATGATCAGGTGAATAAATGGATGGGTGTGGGTGGATAGATGGGAGGGTGGATGGGTGGCTGAATAGTTGGATGGATTGATGGTGGGTAGATGGATAGTGGATGGATGGAATGATGAATGAGTGGTGGGTGGATTGATGGATGGAGGGTGGATTGGTGAATGGGGCATGGTTGAGGGGTAGATGGGTAGATGGGTGGGTGGATTGTGGGTGGATGGGTGGATGGGTGGATAGGAGTGGATGGGTGGATGAATGGGTGGGGGTTGATGGGTGGATGTGGAATGGATGGGTGGACTGTGGGAGGATGAATGGACGAGAGGGTTGGTGAATGGAGGGTGGATGGGTGGATATGGGTGGATAGGTAGATGGGAGTAGATGAGTAGGTTGGGGGGTAGATGAGTCGATGGGTGGGTAGATTGTGGGTGGAAAGGTGGATGTTGGAGTGGATTGATGGATGGGGAATGAAGCCTGTAGGATCTTCCTCCATAGAGGGCACCGTACCACCAAAGGAAGCATCCATATCACTGTACTGAACAGACAGACCATCCATTTTCCTTGCCAACCCTTTTATCATCTGTGCAAGCCTCTCCTTTGTCTCCAGTGCCCCTGTCTTCACTCACTTCCACCAGGCTCTGCATGCTCAGCAGACTTTGCTGTAGACCTCACCATCCTCAACCTTAACTGAAATCTGACTTTCTGAAGCCACCCCTCTCATTGGGGCAGTACTGCTCTCCACTGCACATACCTGGCAATGAAGGACTCCTTGTGGTCACCTCTGTTCTCTTATGGTACCACCTACTCCCCACTAAAGCTGTCATCAGCTGCTGTCGTGGTGACTTCCCTTCATTCTCTGCTCCTAGCTTTCCAGCTCCTGCAACCACAACTCACACCATTCCCCATGACTTCAGAATCCATGTGGATGACTCACCAGCATCCTGGCCTTTGTGGTCTTCATCCCTACTGTCCTTCCTCCTCCTCTCAGCCACTCACTTCCTGGGCACACCCTGGATCTGGTCCTCATGAAAACTACACCAAGTGCCTGCCTTGCCCTGCTCTCCCCATCTCCTCTTGCTAGGTGCCCTTATGCCACCTCTGCTAAGTCCTTCAGCCTCATGAAAACTCCCAGTCCAGGGACCCCTCCCCATAGGCAAGGCCCCCCAAGGCACCCCCCCAAGGCCCCTCCCTGGCCTTGCCCTTGTCTACTGGCATAGTGCGGCCTTCAGCCCATCATCCTGATCCTTTCCTTGCCTCTCACCTTCCACCCCATCCCTGCAGCACCACCATGGCCCTCAGTGGCTCAGCACACAGTGCAAAGCCAGAGCCCTGTGCTATTGCCCCACCCCCTTCTTTTCCTGTAGATGGATCCTAAATGAGCCCTCAGACTGAAGTTCAAGGTGTTCTTTCCTCCCTCACTCTCAGCATTAATGAAGTAAAACCATCATATGGAGATCATCTTTCCCCATCCAAACTCTACACCCCCTACCTGGGCCCTGGAACCCCCCTGACACTCGCACTCCCAAGGCCAAGACCTCCATCTCCCATCCTATAAACAAGTCTTGCCCCACCCGCCACCACCCATTCCTTGATCCTCTATTCGCTTCCTGTGCCTGTCCCCTTTCCCCTTTCCTATTCTCCTTCACCGCAAAAGCTCTGCTTGCTGCCTTCTCCTCTCAAGTTCATCCATCCTTCCTCTGGGGTGCAGATCTCCTTCTCCTCCAACCCCCTGCTTCATGGAGCCATTGGTCAAGGCATCCCATGACCTCCATGTTATAGGACCAGTGGGTGCTCCAGGCAGAGAGCAGGGCTGCTTCCTCTTCTGCCACCTGCTGTGAGCTCACTGTACTCTTATCTTCCTCCTTCCCCTCTGCCCAGCACCACATGTACTCCCTCTCACTCTCTTCTCTGTATGTCTCTTCCCTAAGTGTCTGGATACTTCCAGAGTCTCTACCTCCTGTCCTTCTCTCAACTCCAGCCTGAAGTATCCAGCTGCTGCTGCACTTAGCCACCTTACAGACACCCCAAGTCCGATATTTCTGATACTGAACTCCAGACTCACACCCTCTTCACCTCTGCCCAAGGTTTCTCCTTGATAGTTCCCACCTCTCCATATGGGAGCAGCTGTGGACACACTTCTCCTCACCCTGGCCAATCACCGACCACCAAAGCATCTCAGAGCCAGCCCCTGCTGTCTCATTGGGGCCTGCCCAACTGCACTTTTCCCCAAAGTGGGCTTCTGGGCCTATTCTTGCCCTCCTTCAGTCCCCCACATAGTTGTAAGTGATACATAGGGAACAGAAAGGGGCCATATCATGCTCATGGTTAAATCCCTTCAGTGATTTCCCCTGCATTTTCAGGAAAATCCAAACTCCATGGCTAGACCCCTGATCCCTTTCCATTCCCTCTTGGGCCACCCTCACCTTGTGTTCATGTTCTCCAGCCATCATGCCCTTCAGGCTCTTCCATAATGTGCATGCTCCTTCCTGTCCCGGGGCTTTGAACACACTCCTCCTGATTTGCATCCTCTCACATGCCCTGCACAGGCTGGCTTCTTCTCACCTTAAAGCCTTAGCTTAGCCATGACCTTCTAACCCCTTCTAAAACCTAAATCCTCCTTTAATATTCATCTTAACTTTCTGGTTGCTTCCTTAATCCTTCTTGTCACAATTTGTAATTATCTTATTTACTTATTTGTTTAAGTTACGTTTTTCCATTTCCTCTACTAGACAGTAAATTTCAATGGGGTAAGAACCAGTACAGTTTCCTTTTCTACCCCACCCCATGTCTAGCACAGCATTTGGCACAGAATCAAGACTCCATAAATACTTGTTGAATGAATAAATGGATGACCGGATAGACTGATGGATGAATGAGTGAATGGATGGAAATATGGGTGGATGGATGAATGAAAGAAAAGATGGCTAGCTGGACTGTCAGATGGACAGACAGATGAATAGAAGGATGGATGGATAAATAGAAGTACAAATAGATGGAAAGAAAGATGGGTAAATGGATGGATGAAAGGAAGTATGGCTATGTGGAAGGACAGATGTACAGACAAATGGATAGAAGGACGGACAGATGGATGGATGGATGGATGGATGGATGGATGGATGAATGGAAGGATGGGTGGATGGAAAGATGGATGAAAGGATGGAAGGGAGGATGGCTAGTTAGGAAGATAAATGGACAGATAGTGGATAGAAGGATGGATAGATGGAAGGATGGGTGGATGGATGGATGGATGGGTGATGGGTGATGGATGAAAGGGTGGAAGGAGGGATGGCTAAATAGAAGGATAGATGGACAGATGGATAGAAGGATGGATAGATGAAAGAATGGGTGGATGGACGGAAGGAAGCAAGGATGGATGAATGGATGGGTGGATGGACGGAAGGAAGCAAGGATGGGTGGTTGCATGGATGGATGGGTGGATAGAAGGATAGGTGGATGGCTTACTGGCTGGCTAAACAAACCTCAGGTTTTCCTTTAGGTTGGAACTATGTCAGACCCTGTCATTCCTCTGGAAAATGTTTCCAATTTTAAAGACCAAGCTCCCTGGTGACCATGTGTACCCCAGAATGCTCAGTAGCTAAGGCAGATTTGGTCCAATGACTGCCTTGCCCAGAGGCTCCATGCTGCCCAACCCCCACCTGCAGCCCCAAAGAAGATGCATCCTTCCTGCCTGGTTGTTGTCTGTCCCCACTGTCCTTCCCTTCCCGCAGCAGGAAGCGCTGTCATCCTGGCCTCTGCTGCACTCCCCCTGCCTTCCTGTTCCTGGCCCAGGAACTGGCTTCTTCCTTCCCCTGGCTGGCGTCCCTGGCCCCCCAGCTTGCAACAGAGCAGTCAGGGCAGGCGCTGCGCCGAGGTCAGGGAGGCCAGAGTGCACACCTCCTCTTCTGTGTGCTGTCAGCAGCCTTGGGCAGTGGGGACCCTGGAGTCAGCCACAGGCAGCCGGCTGTGGGAGCAGCACACTGGGTGAGGGGCGAGTCACAGGGGGCGGGGGTGTGGGAAATCCTGTGCATTAGGCACTGGCCATGACCTTGTAGTCACTGCCTCATTTGATCCTCACACAGCCTGGGAGGAAGGGAAGAATCATGAATCTAGTCGGCAATGAGGAAACTGAGTCTCCCAGCCCCATAGCAGCAGCAGGCTAACAGCTGGGCAGGAGCCCAGGTCTGGAAAAGTCCAGGCCCATCCCTGCCCAGTCCTAGCCCTCACATCTCTCGGTCCCCTTCTCTCCCACCACTAACCTGAGTGCTGGCCTCTCCTCCTCCCTGCTCCCCAGCAGCCTCCCTTTTGGCCTCCAATCTGTCCCTAAGCCCAGAGGGGTGTCGTGACCTGAGGAAACCTGCACTGGACCCTCAAGGCCCTCTGGAGCTGTGCATGCCCTTGGCCTGGCCTCCAGGGTGATGCCCATCCTAACAGGCCCTGC